TAACTAGAAGCATAATTCTTCCATACCATGCTCATGGATAGGAAGAATTAACATCATTAAAATGTTCATACTACCCAAAACAATCTATAGGGTCACTGTAATTCCTATCAAGATACTAATAGCATATTCCATGAATCTAGAACAAATATTCCAAAAATTTATATGGAACAAAAAACAACACTGAATAGCCTCAGCAATGTTGAGAAAGAAGAACAAAGTTGGAGGGATCACATAGCTGATTTCAAAATATACTACAAGACCACCATAATCAAAACAGTCTGGTACTAGAATAAGAACAGACACATAGATCAATGAAACAGAACAAGCCCAGAAATAAACCCATATCTTTAAGATCAATTAATATTTGACAAAGTGGGCAGGAGCATACAAGATAGTGAAGTCAGTCTTTTCAGTAAATGGTATTGGGAGAACTAGACTAGCACATGGGGGAAAAAATGAAACTATACCACCATCTTACACCACACACGAGAATAAATGCAAAATGGATAAAAAAACTTAAATATAAGTCATGATACCATAAAATATCCTAGCGGAAAACACAGGCAGTAACATTTTGGATGCCTCATGTAGCATATTTTTCCAATATATTTAAGGCATTGGAAATAGAGGGAAAGAAAAACCAAATGGGACTACATCAAATTAAAAAGCTTCTTCACAGGTAAAGAAACCACCAACAATATAAAAAAGGAACCAATTGTATGGAAGAGCATATTTACCAATGATACATAGGACAAGGGTTTAATCTCCAAAATATATAAAGAACTTAGACAACTCCACACCAGAAAGACAAACAATCCAATTTAAAAATGTACAAAGGAATTGAATAGACATTTCTCTAAGGAGGGAGGACATAAAGATAGCCCATAGACATATGAAAAAATGTTCAACATCACTAACCAAAGAAGGGATGAAAATTATAACCACAGCCTGGCTGGTGTAGCTCAGTGGATTGAATGTGGGCTGCAAGCCAAAGGGTCGCTGGTTCGGTTCCCAGTCAGGGCACATGCCTGGGTTGCAGGCCAGGTCCCCAGTGGGGGCCATGTGAGAGGAAACAACACACTGATGTTTTTCTCCCTCCCTTCCCCTCTCTCTAAAAATAAATAAATAAAATCTTTAAAAAATAAATTAGAAAAAAAAGAAAATTATAACCACAATGAGACATTATTTCACACCTGTCAGACTGCTTTTTACTAATAAATCGACAAACTATAAGCGCTGGTGAGAATGTGGAGAAAAGGGAACTCTAGTGAACTGTTGATAGAAATGCAGAATGGTACAGCCACTATTGGAAAACAGAACAGAATTTCCTCAAAAAATTTAAATGGATCTGCTTTTTGATCCAGTGATTCCACAGCTGGGAATATAGCCAAAAGATGAAGACTCACCAATTCAAAAGAATTTATACACCCCCATGTTCATCACTATTTACAATAGCCAGCATTTGGAAACAGCCTAAGAGCCCATCAGTAGCTGAGTGAGTTAAAAAAAAGCCTGTGGAACATTTACACAATGGAATACTGTGCAGCAGAAAGAAAGAAGGAATTCCTATCTTTTGTGACAGCATGTATGGAACTGGAGACTTATACTAAGTTATATGAGCCAGTTGGAGAAAGACAAATACCATATAATCTTAATTATAAGAAAAACCTAATGAAAAAATCAAGTAAAAAGAAACCAGAGACTTAGAATTATGGAGACTTAGAATGACAGCTGTAAGGGGGGAGGGGAAAGGTGGGGACTGATTGAAAGAAAGTAAAAAGATTTTTAGTCAAAGACCGTATAAGAAGAACCCATGGACATGGACAATGGTGAGAGAACTGATTATCACTATGGGTGGAGGGGGGACAAAGGGAGAAAAAGTCGGACAACTGTGATAGCATAAAAAAATATATTAAAATTAGGACTTCTGCCAAGATGGAGGTGTAGGTAGAAACACTTTGCATCTTCACACAACCAAATCTAAAAACAACAAAGTTTTAACCACAATAAACGCAACCAAGCCACACGGAAAATGGAATAATACAGAGTCCGAAAACAACGAAACACTCAGCTAAACTGGTGAGAGGGGCGAAGCCAGCAGCAGAGTGGGTCAGGCAAAAAAGATCCCCCAACCCAGACCCAGGCGGTGCGCAGGCAGCCGAGGGCACAGATCCCAGGTGCGGACTAGCTATGGGCAGACACAGGGAAAAGGCACAGCTGGCTGTCTGCAGTGGGTCGCGCATTTGTGTGCAGATAAACCAGTGAAGAGATGAGCATTGAGACCACACAGCATAGGGAGGTGGGCTAGCACATTTGCACTCAGATAAACAGGCGGGGGCAAGCGGTGAGGCATTGCTCCCTCTCTGACCCAGCCCCCACATACAGCGTCACAAACCAGCGACCAGGGTGGCCCCACCCTGATGAACACCTGAGGCTCCACTCCTCAAACTTAATGGGCGCGAACAGATCAAAACCTGGCTCAAGAACAACTCAGAGCCCCAAAGCCCATAAATCTAAGCGATGAAGAAATAGCCAAACTGTCAGATGCACAGTTCAAAACACTGGTCATCAGGATGCTCACAGAACTGGTTGATTTTAGTCACAAATTAGAGGAACATATGAAGGCTAAACTAATTGAAATGAACGGTAATGCACAGAAAACCAATAGTAATGGAAAGGAAACTGGGACTCAAATCAAGGGAACAGACCAGAAGGAAGGAAAAAAATGACCAAACAGAAAAGGATGAAGAAACAAGAATTCAAAAAAATGAGGAGAGGCTTAGGAACCTCCAGGACATCTTTAAATGCTCCAACATCCGAATTATAGGGGTACCAGAAGGGGAAGAGGAACAGCCATGAGTGGAAAACTTATTTGAACAAATAATAAAAGAGAATTTTCCCATTCTGGCAAAGGAAATAGACTTCCAGGAAATCCAGGAAGCTCAGAGAGTCCCAAAGAAGTTGGACCCAAGAAGGAACACACCAATGATGAACACATCATCATTACATTAGCCAAGATTAAAATGAAGGAGAGAATCCTAGAAGCAGCAAGAGATAAGGGGACAGTCACCTACAAAGGAGTTCCCATGAGACTGTCAGCTGATTTCTCAAAAGAGACCTTACAGGCAAGAAGGGGCTGGAAAGAGGTATTCCAAGTCATGAAATCCAAAGACCTACATCCAAGATTGCTCTATCTAGCAAAGTTTTCATTTAGAATGGAAGGGCAGATAAAGAGCTTCTCAGATAAGATCAAATTCAAGGAGTTCGTCATCACCAAGCCCTTATTATATGAAATGTTAAAGGGACTTACCTAAGAAAAAGAAGATAAAAAAGATGAACAGTGAAAGGACAGCAAACTCACAGTTAGTAAGAACCACACCTAAAACAAAAGCAAACTAAGAGGACAGCTAGATCAGGAGTGAACCATAGAAATGAAGATCACATAGAGGATTAGCAACAGGGGAGTGGGAGAAGGAGAAGGGGGGAGAAGGTACAGAAAATAAGTAGCATAGACAGTAGATAGAAAATAGATAGGGGAGGGTAAGAATAGTAGGGGAAATATAGAATCTAAAGAACTTGAAATATGTGTTCATGAACTAAAGGGGGGATGGTGGGGGAGGGGTATGAAGGGTGGAGGGGAACAGGGGGGTATAGAACAAATGTAATGCCATAATCAATAAAATAAAAAAATATTAAAAAAGGTGAAAAGCAGCCTTAAAAAATATATTAAAATAAAAAACCAAGAAATTACAAATTACTAGAAAAAGGCAGATGTATGAGAGTAAGCAAATATGACTATCAAGTTTAAGTATGAATACTAAGCAAAAAAACAAACAAGGTGAAAATTATAATGCATACTTTTAACAGACATTTCCTTTAACCCATCCCAATGACATCTATTGTCATTTAAATAGTTATTAGATATGTATATACCAAATGCCACTGAACTATATACTTTTAAATGCTTACTTTCATGATATGTGAATTTCATCTCAGAATTATAGACAGATAACTACATTAATACACATACATATATACATAGTAATTACTGTTCAATGTATCTATTTTAAGAACCTCCCTAAAAAAATAGAACCCCCCTGAGGTTCATCCAATGATAATGGTTTTAATCTTTTGTGAGGTAATTAATGTCACTCCAGTGTCTGGACAAAAAATAAAATCCTGTAGACTGACAGCATGCCATTTGAAATAATGGAGTAAAAAATGTCAAATAAAGGCATCAACTCCTCCTAATATACCAAAATATTAATATTTCTCAATGGCAAAGTTAAACAAAATTTTAAGATTACACTTCATGTGTTTAAAGCTTAATAAAGAATGTAAAAAACATAAAAGGTAGTTTAGCAATGCTTAAACAAATTCCAATAAATATACTAGTATTAGAACAAGAAATGTAATAAATTATTTTTAAATTTTTCATCAATTTTCATTTATGGTTTATTAATGCCAACAAGCAATGCTTATACATAAGGGAGAAAAATAATAAATCCTAAAGGAATCATAAAACCAGTTCAGCTATCATTATCCCACTCATTAAGAAATTTTATTATTGCTATTTAATAAAATACTTCTTTAAAATCTCTCATGATACCACTTTTGAATACAATATCAAGGGCCTATTTCAAAAGAATAAATTCATAAATAAATTTCTTCAGAAAAAAAAGAAAAATCATGATAGCCACATTATTTCTATTTTTAATTTAAAATATCTCTGATGTTCAAATTTAATTCAAGTACTTTAAATATTTATGCATAACAATTATTTTTAATTTACAATATTTGAAGTACATATTTCCTTAATAAGAGTAACATTTTAATGAGTTTTGTAGCATTGTATTTAAGGGATTCAGCAAAAACAAATTAAGTGCTAAACTCTAACTAAGTGTTACAGACATTTACCAAAAATCTATTCATCATTTTATTACCATTATATCACAATGAACTACGTCAGAATATACATATAAACTAAATTAGAAACGTACATCAACATATTGTATGATAAAGTGTCTCCTCTGTCCATCAGAATATACAGAAAGGACATATTCACCAGGTTTCCCATGGCTCTCTCGCACCAAGAAGTCCCCTTGTTGTTTTAACAGATCCTGTGCTTCTATTCTGGGAATCGCACCATGGTACCATTCTTGTTCCGCCAGGGGCTTCTCACTTATGCAGATCGTATCACAGAACTTGAGCAAATATTAGGGGGAAAAAAACTAAATTAGAAAAAAATAGCAATTTTTTTCTAGTAAAATTCACAGCAATACAAATACTTCTTACATATATCCCTCCCTTTAATTGACTGATTAAAAATTATATGATGAATCTGAAATTTTCATAAGTTTTAAAACATATCTCATGGAGTACTGATGTTCAACCGTAACACAAATAAATAGCCTTCAATATTTAAGTTTACTTGTCTTTTCTATCTGTCATACATAGGTACATGCAATATCAGCATTTAGAGTTAATACATACATATTTATGGTCTTCAATGTATCATGAAACAAATCCGTATATTTAAAATTTATTAACTAGAGAATTACAAATAAAAGAAGGGTATTATGAGAGAAATTTACCACAAAACAATTTCCATTTTATTAAAAGTTATTTCTTTTTATGGAATTAACTCTTGACTACATGGGCTGTGGACTGCCCATGTCATACACCCCAGGAGCACTACCGAAGGTTTCACTTGAAGCTGTCTTGCTGCTGTGCCTTTCCATTCTTATCCTCATTCTCCCTACTTCCTCAGCCATTACCTCTCCACATGGATAGTTGGTCCTGATCCTGCACAGCGATAGCAGATTAAAAACTTAGGAGAAGTAGCATCATTGAAAACCACCAATGTGCAATCACAAATGTGGCAAAAACACGGGAAGAATATAAGCCATGCACATGGCATAAAAAGCAAATTATCTGTCATTTTTGGAGACCAAATGCAAGACTAAATGCCAGAGATAACTAAAAGCTGATTGTATTTCCTTGAAATTTTTCTGATAATAAGTAACATCACACATTTTACGACTACAAAGAAAAAACTATTTTATTTGTTTGTTTTTAATCAGGAACTAAATTGCCCAAGATGATTAAGAGTACTTTATAGGCCCTGGCTGGTGTAGCTCAGTGGATTGAGCACAGGCCTGCAAACCAAAGGATCACAGTTCCATTCCCAGTCAGGGCACATGCCTGGGTTGCAGGCCAGATCCCAGCAGGGGACACATGAGAGGCAACCACACATTAATACTTCTCTCCCTCTCTTCTTCCCTTCCCCTCTAAAGATAAATAAATAACATCTTTATAAAAAAAGAATACTTTATGGGTAAGGTACAATAATGTACACTAACTCAACTCTTAAGGTTCTCAAAGTACATATAATATGCACAATGCCTTACTAAATGTATAAATTGGTAAAATTAGATTTAATAATAAATGAAGCCCTGGCTGGTGTGGCTCAGTGTATTGAGTGTATTTGGTTCGCTGCCTGAGAACCAAAGGGTTGGTGGTTTGATTCCCAGCCAGGGCACAGGCCTGGGTTACAGGCCAGGTCCCTAGTAGGGGGGTGTATGAGAAGCAACTACACACTGATGTTTTTATCCCTCTCTTTATCCCTCCTTTCCCATCCCTAAAAATAAATAAATAAAATCTTAAAGACAAAAAATAAATAAATGAAAGAAAAATATTCACACATGGTTTTTCAGGCTAGTATTATATTATGAATTGCATATGCAGACAAAGAATAGTATCTTTGTGGTACTTAAAACTAGCTTTGATATGCCCTGGCTGGTGTAAGCTCAGTGAATTGAGTGCGGGCCTGCGAACCAGATGATCGTGGTTTGATTCCCAGTCAGGGCACATGCCTGGGTTGCAGGCCAGTTCCCAGCAGGGGATGCACTAGAAGCAACCATACATTGATGTTTCTCTCCCTCTCTCCTTTCCTTCCCCTCTAAAAAAGATAAATAAATAAAATCTTAAAAAAATAAAACTAGCTTTGAAGATAGCTTTCACTGTTTTGTATCACTAAACAGGCCCAAATCTTACTGGTCAAAGTTTCACTTTATAGTACTCAAAACTCACCTATTAATTTAAAAAAAAGGAAAATCCCAAATAGACTTCTAAGAATCCAAATTTTGGCTACTACTTCAAACACTTACAACATTTTTTATTCTTTAAATATATACATGGTGTGATTGTACGTGGAATTTTTTGTAAGCTAAATTAGCTTTTTTTTGTTAATACTAATTATGATATAGTATTTCCCAAAATACTTAAATTTTGTTCCCCAAAACTAGTTTAAAATGCAAAAACAGGACCAGACACAATAAGAGATAAATATATGTGTATACATTATACAAACGAGTATGTATATTGCTTTAAAAAACAAATTCATAATATACACAAAATTAACATTTTTTTGTATACTACACTATTAGTTTATTGTCCTTAAAGTAGATTGTCAAATGGTTAAGTATTTTTTCAAGATTTTATCACAGTATATATCATTATAGTAAATAGTAAAATTTTTACTCTAAGAGAAATATTTCCAACTCTCACCCATGGTAAGAGTATTTCATTATTTTTTTTTCTCTGAAAAAAAAACCAATAAAATAAGAGATTCAGTATCACTTTTTTTTACAAAGAACTTGTTGTCACCATTATCTCTGAAAAAGGTCTACATAATACAAAATTACCACAAACAAGAATGTCATACATGCTTCATTTATTTTCCTATTCAACCTGTCCTCCCAAATTTGATTTATTTAAAATGAATTAGGAGAATGGAGAATCTGGAGAATTCATTTACCTTAAAAGGGCACTTGAAATACAAAAGCTCAGCTAATACTGAGAAATTCATTGAAAATGTGAGGTTAAGAACATTTAAGTTTGTTCATTTGTTTTTTAAAAAGGGTGAACAGAAAGAAACTTGTTGCTATTTCAGAGATTACAATTTGGTTCTTTTGACTGATTAGTTTCTTCTGAATAAAAGGGGAAGCTTAGAGCTCTGTTACTACCCAGTGCACAGACAACACTGTTAAAAAATGTAGGTTGATGTTGGTACGAGTGTATGTGTGTACATGTGCATGCACACACGTCCGCGGGGAAAGGTCAGACATCCCCTACCTGGGTCTAGCAGGTATTTCAGAGACTTCTCCGGAAGCACCGTAAGGAACCTTTTCATTAATATGATTTTAATGAAATTCCAATCGTTTTGCAGGCTCGATAGTAATAGAGCGTTACGTGTCAGCAACAAAATCCAACATCCTAAGAGTTATTATAATGTCTTTTTACCTCAAATGCCACATCTTTTTAAGCCTCAGTAAGAAAAGATTTTTTCCTTCTTGATAAGTGACCTAAGACTTTTGCCAAAGATGTGGTGGAGGGAAGCCTCCTTTTTAAAGTTACAGTTAATCCAATACAGTTAATAAGTGTTATTAATAAGACAAGATTTCCTCACCAACCCAGCTGTCTCATTAATTAATTTTCCCTGGGCCTTGTTTTTAACAATATTCCAGTAAAAATCATGCTGGACCTAGTGAAATAAAAAGATTGGTTTAAATAAAGAGGCAATAAGAAGTCAGTACTAGGAAATGAAAATATTTTGGGGAAAAGTATAATAGGCCATTTTTCCCTTACTCTAGTTCAGGCTAATTTCCAAGGGGGTATGCCTTTATTCCAAACATTTGAGTGCAACGTGAGCTTTTTTTGACAGGCAAAAATAAAGTGTTAAAAAATATCAAAGTCTGGATTCTATTAAAATTAAGCATCTAATTAAGAATCCATTTTCTATTTATATTTTAATTAAATTTGTTGGGGTGACATTGGTTAATAAGATTATATAGGTTTCAATTTACATTTCTATGATACTAGATCTGTATATTTGCCCTGTGCCCATTATCTAAAGTCAAACCATCTTCCATCGCCATATATTAGACCCCCTTCACCTCCCAACCTCCCAACTCCCTTCCCACTGGCAACTCTAACGTTGTCTGTGTCCATGTGTTTCAGTTTTTATCTCACATAGGAGTGAAGTCAAATGGTTCTTAGCTTTTTATGACTCACTTCTTTCACTTGGTATGCTATTCTCAAGGCCCATCCATGTTTTCACAAATGGCAGAAATTCATCTTTTTTCTTATAGCTGAGTAGTATTCCATTTTGTACACATACCACATCTTTATTCAATCCGCTATCAAAGGACACTTTTGTTGTTTCCATGTCTTGGGCACTGTAAATAATGCTGCAATAAACATAAGGGTGCATATATCTTTGCAAATACATGTTTTTTAGTTTGTTGGGGTAGATACCCAGGAGAGAGATTGCTGAGTCGTATGATAACTCTATTCCTAATTTTTTCAGGAACCGCCAGACTGTTTTCCAAAGTGCCTGTACCAGTCTACATTCCCATCAGCAATGAATGAGGGTTTCCTTTTCTCCACAACCTCTCCAGCACTTGTCATTACTGGACTTGTTCATAACAGCCATTCTCACAGGTGTGAAGTGGTATCTCATGGTAGTTTCGAATTGCATTTCCCTCATAGCTAATGAGGTTGAACATCTTTTCATATATATTTACCATTTGTAGGTCTTCTGGGGAGAGGTGTCTGTTCAGGTCCTCTGCCCATTTTCAATTGGATTGTTTGTTTGGTGGTAAGATTTTTAGTATATTTTTGATGTTAAACCTTTGTCAGAGCTGTTGTTTGCAAATATCATCTCCCATTTGGGTTGCCTCTTTATTTTGTTGTTGGTTTCTTTTGCTGGGCAGAAGCATTTTAGTTTAATATAGTCTCATTAATTTATTTCTGCCTTTACTTCCTTTGGGGTCAAATTCATAAAATGTTCTCCACAACCAAGGTCCATAATTTAGTACCTATGTTTTCTTCCATGAAATCTATTGTTTCAGATCTTTTATTTAAGTCTTTGATCCATTCTGAATTAATTTTTGTACATGGGGACAACCTGTAGTCTAATTTCATTCTTTTGCGTGTGGCTTTCCAATTTCCCCAGCACCATTTACTGAGGAGGCTTTTCTTTTCTTCACTGTGTGTTTCTGGTTCTTTGTTGAAAATTATCTGCTCATATACATGTGGGTTTATATCTGGACTCTCAAATTTGTTCCATTGATTTGTGTGTCTCTTTTTCTGTCAATACCATGCTGTTTTGATTATCATAGCTCAGAATTATAATTTGAAG